ATAAATAAAAAAACAATTACCAGCAATACATTTTGGAAAAAAACTAGTACTAGAAATAGATTTTTGAAGAAAAAAATATTACCATTAATACATTTATGAAGAAAAATATTGCCAGCAATACAAATTGTCGGCATTAAATAACCCATTGTGGTTGATATACCATAAGACAAACCAAACCAAACCAAACCAAGCCAAACCAAACCAAACCAAACCTTTCTTTTCGCTTGTTTCTTTCTTTTTTACTTATTATTTATCATTCTTTTTAATTATTATTGATCCCATAAATCTTTCATTTTCTCTTTCTCTTCTATTTTTCTTTCTTTATTTGTTTCGTTTTGACTTATTTCTTTCCTTTCTTTCTTTCCGTTTTTCTTTCTTTATGTATTTCTATATTTATTTGTTCATTTCTTTCTTTTATTCTTTCTTTGTTTCATTCTTTTTTTTTTCTTGCCGATACTATTTTCTTTTGTTCATTTTATTCTTAGTGGTCATCTTCGTCTACTTCCTTTTTTCTTTCTTCTCCTTCTTCTTCTTCTTCTTTCTTCTTCTTCTTCTTCTTCTTTCTTCTTCTTCTCATTATTATTATTATTCGTGTTCCTTTATTCACCTTCCTCTTAGTTTTCTTGCAATTATTATTATTACTCGCCTTCTTCTTCCTCTTCTTCTTTTTCTTCGTCTCATCCTCCTCCTTATTCCTCTAATAATATTTCTTCTTCTTCTTCCTATTCTTCTTCTTCTTCTTCTTCTCCTTCTTCTTCTTGTTATTATTATTATCATTTGTCTTCTCGTTGTCCTCTTCCTTTCTTTGTTTCTTCTTTCTCTAATTTCTTTTCCTTTTTTAACACCCTTTTTTATTTTTTTATTCATGTTTTTACACTTCACCTCAACACTTTCTCTCTCTCTCTCTCTCTCTCTCTGTCGCCCTTCTCCCTCTTTTCATTTCTACTCCTCTCTAACATTTTCTTTCACCCCCTCTTTCTCTCTGTCTGCACCTTGCCACTTCTCTTATCTACCATTCCCACCCCAAGATTTCCTTCCCAATTACACTTTTGTATTCTCATCCCCACTCTACCCATTTTTTCTTGTCCCGTCCCCTTTCTTAGCAGTTATCGTGACATCTTTCTTACAAATGTTTCGTTTTTTGTTTCTTTTTTTTCTGATTGAGCGCCTCTCATCTTTTCTTATCTGATTTCCGATGCATTCGAAAAATATCTGTGCTTTTCCGATGAGAATTTATTTCTTTTCACCTTCTTTATTTCGCCATGTTTCGCCTTCTTATTTTCTTTAACAATATTTTTATCAGGCCGATTTTTCCGCAAACTTTCTTTCTCTCTTTCTTTCTTTTTCTCTTTCTCTCATTCTTTCTCTCTTTCTTTCTCTTTTCTTTATTCTTCGTTACTTTTTTTCTTGTTTTCTTTTCTTTTTCTTTCCTTCTTTGTTTCTTTCTTGGATTATTTATTTATTGATTTTCCTTTTTTTTTCCTTTTCTGTCTTTCTTTCTTTCTTAGCTTTCTTTATCTTATTTCTTTCTTTCTTTCTTTCTTTTTTTCTTTCTTTCTTTCTGTATCTCTTTCGTTTGCTCTTTTTGTTCTTTTTTGGTTTCTTTATTCTTTATTTTTTCTGTTTTTTTTTTTTCGCTTCGATTTTTTCTTTCTTTACTCCTTTTTTGAATTCTTTGTTTTTTTTTCTTCTTTCTTTGTTTTGTTTCTTTTTGGCTTCTTTCTTTATTTCTTTCTTTTAAACTATATAAGTGTTTCTTTCTTTCTACTTTTCCATGTGTCTTTATTCTTTCTTTCTTTCATTAATTCTTTCTTTTATTCTTATTATTTATTATTCTTTTGATTTGTTACTTGCCTTCATTTGTTTTTTAATTTTCTTTTGTTTATTTCTTTGTTTCCTTTTTTCTTTCTTAATTTATTTCAATGTTTCTTTTATTTTTTCTTTGTTTCTTTATTTCTTCCCTTCTGTGTTGATTACTAAACGGGAGTGAATATGAAATTATTTGACAGAGTTAACGTTCTTTCTATTCTATGTCCATCATGTAAATCATTTTCCTGTCTATGTGTCTCCTCTCGCTTTTATGGTCGTTTGGATTACGATTAGTTTGATGAATGTTTAATAAAGGAACTAAGCTGGGCCACAAAAACCTCAGCTTCTTTTTTATTCTTCTTCTTCTTCGTTTACTTCTTCTTCTTCTTCTTCTGCTTATTATTATTATTATTATTATTATTATTATTATTATTATTATTATGTGGTCAGACGATTTCCGATGAAGCATAGTCCTTTTCAGCCAGCCTGCTCATTTACTGCCATCTATTTTCGTCTGTGACGACCGCCCATTTGATCAGTTTTTCTCAAAGAAAAAAGACGAATCGCTCCCAAGGGAGGAATTTCAAATCTATAGTGGAGATATCAGGAATATGTACGAGGGGGTATCCATATTGCAGACAAAAGAATGGTAAAACTCTAAATAATTTGACAACATAAACTGTTGGGTAACTCAATGACAAAATGAAAAAAAAAAATTCTATGTAACGTGTTTTGTTCTTTAAATGACCATCATCAGACTGAAGTAATCTTCCTACACACACACACACACACACATATATATATATATATATATATATATATATATATATATATATATATATATATATATATATATATATATATATATATATATATATATATGCATATTTATATATTTGCATATGTTTGTATATTTTCCACTAATATTATATATATATATATATATATATATATATATATATATATATATATATGATTGCTGATATCCCCTGACGAATGGACGGAGTGATTGCTAAGCTCCGTCTACGAAACTATAGAGTCGTGAGGCCGAGAGACAAATTTTATATTTTTCACTTTTTTGCAAAAGTTTTTTTTTTTTTTTTTTTTTTTACTCGAAAAAAAAGGAAAATTTTAAAATTACTATTTATAGGTTCGGTCCGCTTCAGATCAGATCAAATGTGGCCCGTGAACTAAAATGAGTTTGACCTCCCCCCCCCACCCACACACACATACAACTGCTTTAGAAAAGACCCAGTTCGAAACAGGAAATAATGGATAAATCTCTACTCCTGTTCAAAAGACAGGGGAGGAGTATGAACCGGACAAGAGAAAGAATGAAATAAAGACAAAAAGTAAGAAAGAAACACGCAAAGAAAAAATAAATGATAGAAAGAGCAATAACAGAATAAGAAAGAAAGAAAGAAAGAAAAAGAAAGAAAGAAAGAAAGAAAGAAAGGCGAAAAAAATTAAGAAGGCAGAAAGAAAGGCGAGAAAATTTAAGAAAGAAAGAAAGAAAAGAAATTTTAAAAAAGGCAGAAAGAAAGAAAAAAGAAAGAAAGAAAGAAAGAAAAAAGAAAGAAGAGAAAGTTTAAAAAGGCAGAAAGAAAGAATGAAAGACGAGTAAATATAAGAAAGAAAGAAAGAAAGAAAGAAAGAAGAGACAATTTAAGAAAGAAAGAAAGAAAGAACGAACGAAAGAAAGAAAGGCGAGAAAATTTAAGAAAGGCAGAAAGAAGGCGAGAAAATTTAAGAAAAGAAAGAAAGAAAGAAGTGAAATTTTAAAAAAGGCAGAAAGAAAGAAAGACAGAAAGAAAGAAAAAGAAAGAAAGAAAGAAAGAAAGAAATAAGAGAAAGTTTAAAAAGGCAGAAAGAAAGAATGAAAGACGAGAAAATATAAGAAAGAAAGAAAGAAAGAAAAAAGAAAGAAAGAAGAGAAAATTAAAGAAAGAAAGAAAGAAAAAAAGAACGAAATAAAGGGAATCATATAAAAGAAAGAAAGAAAAAAAAAAGAAACCAGATTTGAAGTTGTTGAAATTGAAGACATCTGAAACTGAAACCCTGAAACGAAATAATTCTAAAAATAAAAACTAACCAAAAATAAGACAGAAGAATTTAGCTAATATGTCATTATCATCATCCTTCGACTTCCCTTTGGTTGGTCGGAACTCAATTGACAATCCCTTTCCACACTGTTCGTTCCTGTATTGCTGTCCCCAGATCCCTCAATGTCCATCCCTGAGTCCCAAGCTATGGTGCCAGGGAAAGTTAATTTTCGTGAGAAGACACTTTCAGAAGGATGCCATAGGAGTAAGGATGAGACGATTTCCCTGTCCACTCGGTGGCAATGGCGGGCAAACTGTAATCATTTTTCTTTGAGCTTAACACAGATTGGTCTTAGTTCTCCGTAAATAAATTAATACTAAGCAAAAAATATATGCAAGTAGGCAAAGCAACATTAGTGAGGTAAAAAGCTTCACAAACTAAATGTTTTTGCACAGAAAAGGGAATACAGACAAGTGATTGCAGCGTTCAGACTTCACGACAAGAAAAAAACAAGAATATGGCGGATGAGTCGGAGAAGTGGTCTATGTTATTGGCTAGGAAGAATTCCCATCATGCATCTGTACGATTTGTTTATAAATTTAGGGAGAGGGTATTTTTGCAGTCATTCCCATACTGTGACGAGAACCAACATGCGCCTTGTCGTACTTGATTTAGCTTTCAATCAAAACATCTTTAACCCTAAAACACTAACCATCAATTAAAGTCACACCATTACTAACCATGGGTATATCATACCCGATTTTGAAAATATCAAAAAAAAAATAATAAATATAAATCTTTATTTGAAATATTTTACATGCAGGCACTTCAAACTTTGTACTTTGAGTTAACATTAATAGGAACTGAAAAACATATTATTCAGGTAAGGAAATCAGGTACTGAAAATTGTAATTAAAAATAGGAAAATTTGCGCTGGGTACTATATACCCATGGTTAGTGTTCTAGAGTTAAAACAATGCGCTGCTTAAAATTCACTTGATTTTCTTTCTATTTCTTTTCATACATCAACAATATTCACATTTGCATACGAGAAAACAGATAAAAACTGTATGAGACATATATTTTCGATTATTTTAATATATATATATATATATATATATATATATATATATATATATATATATATATTATGATGTATGTAGATATATAGATAGATAGATAGATAGATAGATAGATAGATAGATAATGATATCAAGTCCGTAGTGGTAAGGATAATCCAAGTAGGTCTTTTTTTAATATAAAATATTAAAAAGATAAGTCCATGAAAGGAGCTCAATGTATATATACATAGCAATATGATATACATCAAACGAAAAAAACATTAGCACATCATCGAAAAATCCGGTAATAATTTTTTTTCGACAGATAAGTTTTTAATATCTACCGTATCAAACCGAAATTACAAAATGGTATAAATTTATACGGACAGTATATTAAAAATTATTTCAAATTAAAGCACAAGAGATCAGGAAATAAATGTCTAAATTACTTGACCTAGAAAAACGTTCCTAGGGATTTACATCATGGAAGAGAGAAAAGGGTAAATTAAAAAGAAGCAAATTATCAGCTCTTTGGTAAAACGGGGAAGTACAAGTGACAACTAGTGGAATAAATCCTTGTTCAAATTAATTGAAACAACCACTTTAGTTACCTTTCTTTCATCATACGGTCAGTTTTAGACCACTGGAGTAACAGGACGTAATCGATTTCTGTTTTTTCTTAGATTATGTTACTTGGAGTGGTGTGCAGTAATATGAATCTATTTTCGGGGTGTATGATGAAATTTGTTTAGTCTTGAAAAATATTACGTCATCCGTGATTGCATCAGATTTTTATCACGCCGAGACACTATTGTCTCGACTGTCAATTAGTTGTCCTACGGTCATTGTTTGAGAGGAACGTTACTCCAAGGAAGCGTACGAAAATTTTAACGCTGCACAAGTCTTACAAGTGTGCAAATCAAAGTACTATAGACTGGTGCGGAAATTCTCCTGATTTAAATTCAGTCGAGAATCTGTGGTCAATCTGTAAGGAAAGACATCGTGGAATGGACATACGAAATACTAACATGTGCACTGGGTCATGATTCATTGGAAAAATACTAAAAATAAAAACGGAATTATTTATTTATTTTTTGTTCCAATTAATTTGCACAAAGGTGTACATTGGAATTAAATCAAAATTTCTATCATCAAATTTTACATGAGTAAAATTACAATCAAATATATATATATATATATATATATATATATATATATATATATATATATATATATATATATATATATATATAAAATCGCAATAAAATACATATAAAATCTTTTGTATTATTTATTGAAAGTTATATGCTTTGATTCATGTGTATGTATATGCTTTTGAGTATTTATGTATGTGTATATATATGTCATCATGTGTACGTTTGTATATATATGTTTATATATACATATACATATATATATATATGTGTGTGTGTGTGTGTGTGTGTGTGTGTGTACCTATATATGTGTATATATCTATGTTAGATGATGGGGATATAAATTTTGATTTAATTTCAATGTATTTCACTAACTGTTACTTGTAGTTCCCCCTCTTACCTTTGCTTCTCCTTTTTCTTTCCCCGACTCCTCTCTTTATATATATATATATATATATATATGAAAAATATACGGAAAAACAAACAAAAAATCCCTATGCAATTACATTATGCTGTTTTAATGTTAATATAATGTAAACGTCGAACGTTTCGGTCTAGTAGACCATCTTCAGGACATATTCATAAAAACATGGTCTACTAGACCTAAAAACTTCTGACGTTGACATTATATTAACATTAAAACAGCATAATTGCATATTATTTTTTCATTTGATCTATATCCATATATTTACACACACACACACACACACACACACATATATATATATATTATTATAAATATATATATATATATATATATATGTATGTATATATATATATATATATAATGCGCAACAACTAAGGGTAGGGGACAAATATAAATTAATATTTTCCTAGCAGGCAGAGAGAATTAAGACACAAGTTAGCCTTGTTCAGGGATCCGGTCGCCAATACCTAATATATAGCATATGTAAAATGCTGTTACCTCTTATAGCAACCATGATAGCTAATTTTGAGTTAAATTTACTTTCAGTCAGTAGATATTTAATATTTCTGGAATTAAATAATTTTAATATTTTAGAAATAACCTTTACGTGACGTCTGCGTTGTTGGATATATTAAATGCTATAACCTCTGATAGCAACCTTGACAGTTGGTTTTGACTTAAATTTAATTTCGGGAATTTTTTTTTTTCGATGATAAATTATCTCTGCCTGATTCTTTTCAATCTATTATTGCAATTTTGTTGACATAAAACAATCAATTTAAAAAAAATTTAAACTTTATTTTTTTTTTTAAATAGATTATTCTGAAGCCTGTAGAATGGTTGGTTTTTCTGTCAATTTTTTTTTTCCCCTCTTTTCGTTTTTACTTTTATTTTGCATTGAGAAAGTTACATTTACATAATACATTCGGATAAATTTCTTTTGCTAATTTCATTAACCATTTTAATTAGTTTAGCGTAATTATATTTACAAAATCACTAGCAAAGTTGGTCTTTAAATAAACAGGAACTTTATTTTCTACATCAGGATATCAATCTTATTTTTTTTTTTTTTTCTTGATGTTCCAAACACATGCACGTCTACACAATTTATTATTTCGTCAGTATTCAAAAAATGAATATAAAATTGTTTGAAACTATAAAGAAAAAGAACTAATTTCATCACTTCTCTGAAATTTCCTCGGGAAGGTTAATGTTTTCGCCTGCCTTGTGTAGAATCGCAAAACTCCGACTGATAAACTTACTGTTTTCTTACAATGATATTTCATTTATTTTTCCCTACAATTGTCCTTGATATATAAATATTTATACATCGTATCCCAATCTTCTGATCTAGCACAAACTGTCCAATGGAGTAAAACCTGGCTGGTTACATTCAATGCTTCGAAAATGAAACTAGTTATAATAATCGCAGATCGAACCTCAAGCTACCACCAGTCACGATAAATGGATGACTCCTAGGGGAGGAACCGGGATTATTGAGCCATAAACTCGCACCTAGTCTTAAGTGAAACTCGTAGATACGATCCATTGCTAAGGATGCAGATAAAATGGATGGCTGCCTGTACCGTTCCAGTAAGTACATCACTCTGTACTTGGACAGAGTGCGCTCAGGGGCTTCTCTGCCAAAGGACAGAGGGGCAACTGAGGAAAATTATACTGAAGATTTGCCCAGCCCTGGGGAACAGCTGCCCAAGGCCACGCCCTCCGATTATACCAGATGGAGGGCTCGGTGCTCGCACCGAGGCCAGCGCAACCAACGGTTGCGGGGGCTGAGGGAAATATTTGTTCCTGTCCCGGGAGTATGTGCTCGGGTTCCCACCTAAAAATAGACCTTGTGTCGCATCTCGTCCTAGTGGAGGGGGGGGGCAGAGTAAATACCTCATGTAAATTACTATAAAATAGAGCGGGAGCTTTTTTTTTATTATCTCAGAATTCGTGGGAGAATGCAGTTCCAATTTCACATTTATTCATATAGATTCCATAATAAAGTTTTTACTTAATTAGCTGTTAAGTTTCTCTAACTCTTCAAATATTGAATGTATAACTAAATGTATTTTCCCATCTTCACGCTATATCAATTTAATCTTATAAATTTTCCCCTGTTCTGTCACCCATGAAATAAAATTAATTGCTTGTACGGAAAATAAGGATCTACATACATCAAACTTTAAATGGCAACAGAAGAATATCGCTAAACTTTTAAAAGGTAAGCTTAAACATTAATTCAATACTTAAATGAAGCGACCAATTTTGAGTTCTTCTGTAGTTTATTGATGCCTATCGCATCTACTCCTCCCTAGATATTGTAATGATGGCCAAACCAAGAGTCCCCCACAGGAGTTAGCTTAAACAAACGGAAAATAATAGTTACTCTCCTTGAACCATGAAAGCAACGATAATGGCTAGTATAATATATTAATATATGTTTTTAACCTTGCATAATCTGGTAACCCTGAATCTGAGCTCAACGAAAATCATTCCCTGTGCCTAACTTTTCTCGGGCTTTTGAATGAGCTGTGAGTCATTAAAATCGCACCAGTGGGAGCGGAGGAGTTGCTTGGGCGCACACATACACGCACAAACACGCATACATACACTGTAATTTATATATAAGATGTTTTCATCATTTTTGTTATTAAATATCCCAGATTGAGATAATAGACAATCTACCAAGAATGGTGAAACGTTGTAAGAACTTGGAGGCACATTTATTGTGAAAAACGATTCTCAGAACTTTCTAGTGTATTGTTTTCTCTTTTAATTAGAGCAGCCTTTTTTATATCAAAATTTGTGGTCCTTCTCATTATGATGAGGAAATAATGCATTTATTGAGTTGTTTTGTAAAAGACCTCTTTTGTGTTCGCATAAATATTTATTTTTATTCCTCGAAGATTCTTCTCTGTCTTCCTTGTGATAATCATTCCAGATAATAAATTCCTTCTCCATGTTTTATCTTATTATTTTCTAAATAGGTCTTTTATTGGTTTAGAAGTTGTTTTAACAAATATTATTTTAATCTTATGCTTGTATGTGTGAGTTTGTTTTGCTTTGTTTTACGGCATATCAAACTAAATGGATCATTTAATGTCGACAACTATTTTTTCCTAGTAATATTTTTGTTTAATGAAAAATCTGCTTCTGTTAATATATTTTTCTTCAAAAATGTATTGCTGGTAATATTATTTAAAAAAATGTATTGCTGGTAATATTATTTTAAAAAATGTATTGCTGGTAATATAATTTTAAAAAAATGTATTGCTGGTAATATTTTTTTTTCAAAAACGTATTTCTGGTAATATTTTTTTCTTCAAAAACGTATTGCTGGTAATAATTTATTTACAAAATATTGCTGGTATTAAAACCTATTTTTACACTATTATAATGCTTTTTACCTTAGTTTCGGGGTTAACTATTTCCCCATAGCTGGGACCCTAATGTGCTACCACCCCGGGTCAGGTTAGACCTGGGAACACTAGCAATTAAGAAGTGGTTCCACGCTTCTCAAAGCCTCTTGATCAGAGTCCTTGCTGTTGGACGTAGTTTATCGTCTCACCCAGAACGCGGATATAGTTTATCGTGTGTGT